AGGGGGAGAGGCACGGGGATGGGGACAGGCACGAGGATGGGATTGGGGACAGGGAGAGGCTCAGGGACTGGAATGGGGACAGGCGTGGGGATGGGGACAGGGATGGGTGTAGGGACAGGTTCAGGGGCACAGGGATGGGGAGAGGGATGGGGATGGGGACAGGCACAAGGGTGGGATTGGGGACAGGGGCATGGGCACAGATGGGGGACAGGGATGAGGACAGGGACAGAGATGGGGATGGGGACAAGGAAAGGCATGGGGCGTGGGGACAGGGACACAAGGATGGGATTGGGGACAGGGAGAGGCTCAGGGACTGGAACGGGGACAGGGATGGGTGTAGGGACAGGCTTAGGGGCACAGGGATGGGGACAGGGATGGGGATGGGGACAGGAACAGGCATGGAGATGGGGACAGGGATGGGGACAGGGGCATGGGGATGGGGACAGGGATGGGCACAGATGGAGGACTGGGATGGGGACAGGGAAAGGCATGGGAACGGGGACAGGCACAAGGATGGGATTGGGGACAGGGATGAGGACTGGGATGGGAACAGGGACAGGGAGGGGCATGGATCTTGGCCTTTTTGGGGGGGGGCTCCCCATTCCCAGTCCTTGGGGGACCCCAACCCATTTCCAACTGGGAGGGGGTCCCCATTCCCAGTCCTCGGGGGACCCCAACCCATTTCCAACTGGGAGGGGGTCCCCATTCCCAGTCCTCGGGGGACCCCAACCCATTTCCAACTGGGAGGGGGGTCCCCATTCCCATTCTTTGGGGGATCCCAGCCCATTTCCAACTGGGAGGAGGTCCCCATTCCCAGTCCTCGGGGGACCCCAACCCATTTCCAACTGGCCCACCTCTTCCTTGCCCGGGCCGGGGGTGGGGGTCTCCCCCCAACAGGGAGAAAGCAGTGACCCCCACCCCGCAACACCTAAACCCCCTGGACCTGCTGCACCGCCTGGATGCGCTGTTGCCCCCCGAAAGCCTCCTCGTAGCCGACGGGGGGGACTTTGTGGGCACCGCCGCCTACATCGTCCGTCCCCGACGTCCCCTCGCCTGGCTGGACCCCGGTAAGGACCCCAGCCCCGCTAGGCTGTCACCGTAGGGTGACACATGGGGTGACGCCGTTGTCTCCGCAGGAGCTTTTGGCACGTTGGGAGTCGGTGGAGGGTTCGCGCTCGGCGCCAAGCTCTGCCGTCCCGCCGCTGGGGTCCAGGGGTTTTTTGGGGACAGCGGCCACCGGTGCCACCCGCCGTGACCTCACGGTGTTTTGTCCCCCCTCCCCGGCGTTCAGGTTTGGGTCCTCTACGGGGACGGCTCGCTGGGCTACAGCGTGATGGAGTTCGACACCTTCGTGCGGCACAAGGTCAGGTGGCGTCAAAAATGGGGGCAAATGGGGTCCTGGCCCTGTCCCAGGGTGTCACTGGGGGCACGGTGGCCCTGTCCTTTGTCCCCTTACAGACGCCTGTCATTGCACTGGTGGGCAACGACGCCTGCTGGAGCCAGATTTCCCGGGAGCAAGTGGCTTTGCTGGGCAGCAACGTGGCGTGTGGCCTTGAGTACCTGGGTGAGTGCTGCATCCCCTGCTTTGTCCCCAGATTTGGGGACACCCGGGTGACCCCATGTCACCCCAGGGTGGGTTGAGCCGTGCCTGGTGGCGTCGTGACACCTTGGGGTGGATCAAGGTCTGCTTGGTGGCACCATGGCACCTTGGATCGAGCTATGCCCGGTGGCACCGTGTCACCCTTGGGGAGGGTCAGGCCATGGCTGGTGGCACCATGTCACCCTTGGGGGGAAATCAAGCCATGGCTGGTGGCACCGTGTCACTCTTGAGGGGATCAGGCCATGGCTGGTGTCACTGTGTTACCCTTGGGGGGGACCAGGCCATGTCTGGTGTCACCCTTGGAGGGGATGAGGCCATGTCTGGTGGCACCGTGTCACCATTGGGGAGGGTCAGGCCATGGCTGGTGGCACCATGTCCCCCTTGGGGGGAAATCAAGCCATGGCTGGTGGCACCATGTCCCCCTTGGGGGGAAATCAAGCCATGGCTGGTGGCACCATGTCCCCCTTGGGGGGAAATCAAGCCATGGCTGGTGGCACCATGTCCCCCTTGGGGGGAAATCAAGCCATGGCTGGTGGCACCATGTCCCCCTTGGGGGGAAATCAAGCCATGGCTGGTGGCACCATGTCCCCCTTGGGGGGAAATCAAGCCATGGCTGGTGGCACCATGTCCCCCTTGGGGGGAAATCAAGCCATGGCTGGTGGCACCATGTCCCCCTTGGGGGGAAATCAAGCCATGGCTGGTGGCACCATGTCCCCCTTGGGGGGAAATCAAGCCATGGCTGGTGGCACCATGTCCCCCTTGGGGGGAAATCAAGCCATGGCTGGTGGCACCATGTCCCCCTTGGGGGGAAATCAAGCCATGGCTGGTGGCACCATGTCCCCCTTGGGGGGAAATCAAGCCATGGCTGGTGGCACCATGTCCCCCTTGGGGGGAAATCAAGCCATGGCTGGTGGCACCATGTCCCCCTTGGGGGGAAATCAAGCCATGGCTGGTGGCACCATGTCCCCCTTGGGGGGAAATCAAGCCATGGCTGGTGGCACCATGTCCCCCTTGGGGGGAAATCAAGCCATGGCTGGTGGCACCATGTCCCCCTTGGGGGGAAATCAAGCCATGGCTGGTGGCACCATGTCCCCCTTGGGGGGAAATCAAGCCATGGCTGGTGGCACCATGTCCCCCTTGGGGGGAAATCAAGCCATGGCTGGTGGCACCATGTCCCCCTTGGGGGGAAATCAAGCCATGGCTGGTGGCACCATGTCCCCCTTGGGGGGAAATCAAGCCATGGCTGGTGGCACCATGTCCCCCTTGGGGGGAAATCAAGCCATGGCTGGTGGCACCATGTCCCCCTTGGGGGGAAATCAAGCCATGGCTGGTGGCACCATGTCCCCCTTGGGGGGAAATCAAGCCATGGCTGGTGGCACCGTGTCACCCTTGGGGGCATTGGGCCATGCCTGGTGGCACCGTGCCACCTCAGGGAGGATGGAGCTGGGTAGCCCAGTGTCACCCCATATCGGGTCATGCCCCGTGGCCCTCTGTCACCCCCCACATCAAGCCATCCCCACGGAGGTGACAGAGTCACCACCACTGTCCCCTCCCTACAGACTACCACGCGGTGGCCGAAGCGCTGGGTGGCAAAGGCTTTGTCGTGGGGCGCCCGGACTGTGAGCGGCTGGAAGCCATCCTCCGCGCCGCACAGGATGCGTGCCGCCAAGGCCGCCCCGTCCTCATCAACGCCCTCATCGGCAAAACCAACTTCCGCGATGGCTCCATCTCTGTCTAGGGACAGTGTCCCCAAAAATGTCCCGGCCGTGTCCCCGGTGGTGGGGACAGAAGAAAGGGATGGGTTTGGGGGACAGTGGTGCTGTGCCCCTCCCCATCGTGGGGGACAGCCATGTCCCCCCACCAATAAAGCAGCACTGTGTGCCCGCACCCACCATCCCGTGCCATCAATTTGGGTGCCAACACCCTGGGGGACACCCTAAGTGACGTTTTGGGGACTGTCACACCCCCCCTGTCAGGACAGTGTGGCGCCAACACACGCGCAAAGCCCGGCGGCGAGTGCAGCTTGTGTCATTTATTGCTGGTGATGGTGACAAGGCGGTGGCAGGGCGAAGGGGGGGGGTCAGGCCACCTAGGGGGGG